TACCAGACTAGGCAGTTTCCTAGTAATGCATCATCACTCCCTGTTCTTCTCATATAGTCAGTGATCCGAACTAGGGCCTTCTTTAAGACCTTCAGTATTGTAGAAAGACTACACAGCAGAACCCTATCCTGGAAGAAACGGAGCTCACAATGAGGCAGGGACACTTCCAGAGCAAAAACATGACAGAGGCATCACAGTCCATTTCTGATCGTAGTGACATCAATCCACGAGTGCTGTCACCCAAACTGGCAGTCCTGTCACTTCAGCAGGGAGATTGGCTCCTACCTGAAACGGTGTGTCAAACCAGTGTGGCAGTTCACCTTAAGGAAGAAGCAAAGCAGCTTGCACTTTTCTTTCAAGGAGATCTTCTGGAGGGGGTGAAAAGAAAAAAAAAAAAAAGAAGGAAGTATAAGAGAACATAAAGTGGCAGCTTACAAAAAAGACAGAAAACAAGTCTATTAGAAACAGGATTTTTTGCTATAAAAATCTTGATGAGATTATTTAACTTAATGAAGACCTACCTATATGGCTTATTTTAAAAAACCCACACCAAAGTCACTAACAGGTAAAGTGTACCAATGAATACTCTTTGCATTTTCCTCCACTACATGTAGTACAAAACACTTCTCCCATGACCTCCTTTGCACTTTAATACCAATGATAAAATTCTGAAATAAGCCACTGCAATGACAAACAATTCATGTTAAATATTTTATTTACGATTTACAAAAATGACATACAAAATTGACAGTCTTTCATACCAAAGTTAAATAAAATAAGATGAAGCAATTAAAAGTAATCCATTTCGTGAATTCCTTCACAGAAAAAAAACCTATCATATGAACATTCAAAAGTATTTAAACTGTGACCCTGATATTTACATTCAAGGACAAAAATCTTTAAATAGTGAATAATTTTAATTAGCACAATAGTACAAATAAATACAGCAGCACTATGCAAAAAACTCCTTACAGTCCCTACCAATGAATAACAATTGCAACAAAAAAAAAAAATCTATTTGCCACAATGCTGCTTAAAGTTCAAAGTTCAAATATTGTCAAACAGCTAAATTTGATCCGCAGGTCCAGGTGCAGAAGCTCTGCCAAATTATCACATAGGACCTAGTAAAAAGTCTGTTACAATGCAGAATACCTGAAAGCCTAAGCCCTCATGCAAGCACGAGCAAAGAATAATAGACTTTTCATTTCACGGGGCTAAAAACGCAGCATTACTGAATACCGCTTTTTTTCTTTATGCATAATACAAAGAGATTTCCTCTATCTCTCCTGGGAAGCTGCAATATCCATGGATAGTGGCATCACAATTTATGTTCTTTATAAGACTACAGTCCTACAAAATAAGCTCACTGAAAGTTTGCCTTTATGTATAGAAATAAAGTATACCACCTACTATTTGCGATTACCAATTCCATTAAATTTTGCTCCCCTTGTAAATGGATGTTGCTACTGAAGCTTATCTGACACTATTACAAATATTTGGTATGAACATGACATTAAAAAACAGGTTAAGAAGCATAACAAGATTTTCTGTTTTCTGCTGTCTTTTTTTTTTTTTTTAAATCCTGGTTAGTAGTCGCTCTCAAAATCAAATGTTCAAGTCTTCTGCAGCTCAAGTTCATATCTCCCCACGAAGAATGGCAAAGACCTGCAAAAGCAGGACCATGAAATATTTCCCTTGCTTAGTATTCTCTAGCTTGAGAAGTAACTAAAAGTTACTCTTGTTTAGAGTGAATCTGAAACTGTTGTTCACTTCAGCCTTTACTCTTGTTCAAATAGCATCAGATGCTTCTTCCCTACGCAAAGGTCCCAATACAGCTTCCAAAATTCTTTTAAATCTGGAAGACACACAGCCTTGAGTACAAAACAAACATTCAACACCTGGAGTGCAAGAGTGGCAGAACATCTTCTGCAGCCTAAGTATTCTAGCTAACCATGCAGGAATACACAATCTGTTTTTCACCCCTTCATGCTGCTGTAAAAAGAAGATTCTTTCAGCCATAGGAACATGACCCAAAAGTTCAGAAGGCTTACATAAAGCCAGGATGAAAAGCAAGGATGATCTAGGAATTAAGCATATGCTTATGAGTTTAATGCAATTGTTTTTAAATATTATTATTTTAAAGATTTTCTTTACATCTTGTGCCTATAGTGCAGCAATTCTGTCCTTCCATGTTATGGATACAAACTCCACTTATGATTTGAGAATAAAATAATAATTAGCATTTTCTATTTAACTTGTCTGTTTAAATACCTCCTCCTTCATAAGTTCTTCCCGTCATGGAAAACACTGACTGAAGTGAAAGTGTTCACTTAAAACCATTTTATAAGCAATTATATCATATGCAATGCATTTTCATCACTGAACAATGCAGAAAATATTTTTGCACATAGAATTTACAAAAACACTAAAAATAGAAGTCTGAGGATCATCTCAGAATGCGAGGCAAAGAACGCACTTATAACCAAGCAGCACGAACGTTAGTGGGTTTAGGTCTCTGTAATGCGCCACTGGCTGAATCAGACACGGGTTTTTCATTCCTCTGGCTCATTGTACTTGGTACAGCGGATGCTCTTGAAGTGCCTCCTGTTAACACACACACAGAAAAAAAAGAGTGAGAATGCTCAGTACAACAGAAGACTTCACGCTATATTAGTACTGCAACACTTATTACCATAGTTTCCAGAAAAAAACCCAAATCACAGTAAGTTGAATACAAACTCAAAATGTTACGAGTTGTTTGTAAATGGTCAGGACAAAGAATTCAAGCCTATGCCATAGTGCTGTGGTTCTTTAACCTGATCTATGGAGACACATGATCTACTTCCAAGTATTACAGACACAATTTCTAAGAGAAACAAGGCTACTATCAAGAGATTTACATTTTCTGAATGAGAATTTGAAACTTCTTTGGGGTTCTTGTGTTGGTTTTTTTTCCTTCTCTTCTCCTTTCAATAAAGGGCACTGGCAAAATGAGAAATATTTCTTTACAACAGTGATTTTTTGACCTTCTTGGGAAAGATGATTAACAAGATAAGTTATTAGAAATTTAGGATGGTAAGTAAACAATTCATATGGTCATCATACTTTTAGTATGATTAAAAAAATCACTTTAATGATTTCTGTGTGACAAATGATCAACCTAAGGAAGATAGAGAAAGGAACTTATTTGCTATTGTTAGCAGTAAGTGTTTCAAAATTCTGAATTATAGAAAAATAAACACACGCAAAGAAATGCAAAAATCTGCAACTTCAAAGTACTTACTGGAAGGACTAAGCTGGCTGAAAGCAGATTTTCCTCTTCGTACAGATGGTGAAGAATTTAGATAACTCATCTGGCGCTGATAGTCCATCAATTGTTCAGAACGCCTCATACCAGCTGTTGGTTTCACTGCTTCCAATCTTTTCAGGAAAGCCTTAATATTGAAGAAAAATATCATCAAGAAAGAGAAAGGATGAACAAGAAGCTACAAAACAAACATTCACGAATTGATTTTTATTTGAACTGCAAAAAACCCCCAAATTTTTAGCACTGCACAACACGAACTCCTCCACTGGTGACCAGCATAGGCTATTCTGCTCACATTCAATTCTTTTCTCCGTGTTAGAAGATGACACAAATAGTAGGTGTCCCTTACATATCATCAGTTCTATGTTGAGTACGTCTTTAGTACCCCATAGTTCTCTGTACTTTATGATAACTTGAAACAACACATCTGTTTGGCAATAGTAAAGGAGGTGGAAGGATGGGCTGCACTCTTCTAATCCTACCTTTGGTTACTCCTCTCGTCTAAATTTCTGGAAGGATGAGAAGTTTGGTTTTTTTTTTTTTTTAATCTTTGCTTTGCAAACATACTTAGACCATTTTATATTGCAGAGAGAATTACTGACCTCAATCTGTGAAAGTAATGTCAAAAGGAAAGCACAAACATCCACTGGACACTATTTGTTTTATCCATAATGTAATTTTAAAAGATTCTAGTTGAAATTATTGTTATAGACATCATTCCCTCTTGCTGAAATTAACCCTGGCAATCATGCAGCAAGCATTAAATTAGAACAGCTACTCACATAGTATTTTTAAGATACAGACAGTTTCCCATTCTGCATAACTACTTCTACTTGAAACAGGATTAAGAAATTTCCATAATCTAAAAAAAGAACCTGATGGCAGGACAAATTTGGAAGTACTCAGCTACATACAACTTCCAATTAACAACTTCACATTTTTAATATATTTCACCTCCAGTGCTTGCCTTGCATAGATCTATACATTCCCTCTGGTAACTAATTTCAACTCATTTGATGGCCTACAAACATTTGGCAATGACAAAACCATTGCTGATCAGGGTTATGACATGTATCCTATCAATGAGAGACAATGCAAACTGCGATTACACAAGTCTCCAAAGTATTAAAAATACCTGTTAATAAGGATGTATTATTTAGATGCATACTTACACAGCAGAAGTCAAGAATCTGTCTGTATAGCCATTAAACTGCACTTTGTATGAAACGATCGTTCTTCCCCATTCCCAATCAGGTACTGATTTTATTTATTTATTTATTTATTTAAGAATTAAAAAAAATTACAGAAAGTGACTTAGGAAATAGTATAGTATTCACAGGATGTCAGTTGTCATTGTCTAGCTGTAATAGGAATCTACAAAGTCTCAATAGTTCATGCATGGGCATTGGAAACCTGCACAGAGTTCACAAGGGAGAAAGGACAAGTGATTTTGGCTCAGACATAATATGTCACAAGTGCTTGCATCAAGTGCCAGTCAGTTCATCATCAAGTGGAAACACCTAAGTAAGCAAAAGTCAAAGGAAGGACTTCAGCTAGAAATAGCTCTTCACTAAAGCCAGTTGCAGAACATGAAATGGTAGACTTGTCTCTAAATGTTATATCCAACGTTTTACTCACAACTTCATCCGCATCTCCTAACACAACCTCATACATTTAGACTTGCAGAGATCACTTATTTACCTTCAATATTAAAAATGGAAGCCCTCAATACATTCAGTTCAATCACAAATGGATTGGGTAAATTGTAGAAGTGACTTCCCTATGAGAGTTGAGCATGTTTCAAGTCTGCTCTCCAACTGTAACAGCCTCATAGAATTTGCACACCTTAACACTGCACTAATTTCAAGCTTGATTCTGAACATATAATATTTACATATGCCCGCTTTATTCTAGTTTAAATACAATTCTCTGCTTTTGCTTTTATGCCTGTATTTTGACAATTATCAAGTCCCCCTTACTAAAGCAAAAAAAAAAAAGAGACCTCTCAGTACTAAAACATTACTTTTTGAACAGGTTAACACTGGACTTGATACAACCCTGAGCTATGGAAAGAGCAGATATAGATTCTGTGGTGCAGAAGTGCTCTAAGAAAAGCTCCTCTAGAGAATGAGAGAATAGCTCCTGTGGTTCGCTTGCCCTCTGCTGCAAATTGTACCAAGGGCACGTTAACTTACACGCTATTTGCGGTTGTGAATTTTGCAGTTTGGAGAACAGCCTGCTGCATGCAAAAATGAACTCATCAACACATTGAAATGGCAGTCCTGACCTACTAAATCTGTAACCTGGAACTAATCCGATTGTTATGTTTTTATTAACAACCCTACACTCTTGAGGTCCTTAACCAAGGAACTATCTTGTACAATGGTACAAGTACCTTGAACAAATGTTCTATTTCAATTATACATATAAATCTACTAATTCTTTCATTATGTTCTTGTTTTGAGAAATGGACTGAAGAACACTGCCACCTTCCTTGTTCTTTTGAAGTGCTAAATCTCTGGAGCCTTAATCCTGCACCACTAAAGTAAATAGAAATTTCGTCATTTATCTTAGTGACCAAAGAATCAGATCACATAACATAATCCAGGTGTTCAGAACCAAATATATGCTCCTTATCAGATTTAAGGAATAAAAAACCATCAGTAACAGACACTAACGGCAGGAATGTCATTAGTTGCTCTAAAACGCATTGTAGTTCCTCAGAGCTCTTGATTCAAGCTCAATACATATATAATACCATATCATTGATGACCTCCCAGCTTGGCAAAAGCCTCCCAAGGCTTCTATTTCCCCCATCTTCTTTTACTTTATTATAATACTGGGTTTACAATAAAAGTAGACTAATAAAAAAAAAAGAAAAAAATCACAGAAGGTGTTCCTGCATGATTACCTTCTAGGAATAGGATAATCCTTTATAAATCTAGGCATCTGGACATAGATTAGTATCTATAAAGACACTAAAATAAATATCGTCAATGACAGAAGGAAATGTCAGATTGCCAACAATTGGAAAACAAAGGAAGTCGACACTGTATCCAAAGATTGCTGCTATACAATGGGCCAATATAAATGCTGCTAATTCAACTTGGGGCATACCAGGAGAGCACTAAAGCTAATTCTAATGCTCTCAGTTAGAAAAAGGGGGGGGGGCGGAAATCAGTACACACTTTTCTGCAGCTATGTTGAAAAAGAAAGAAAACAACACTGAAAATGCAGCACTCCTAAACGAAGTTCAGAGAGAAGGTAAAAAAATGTTACTTTTTCTTGTTTTACTTTGCTTTTTAAATGCATGAAGGCTTCAGTTTCACCTCCTTTGAATCCTAAACAGCTGACTAGTGTGCCTTGACAGCTGTTCAAATTTATTTATATTATGCCTCCTCTAATGTCACTGATGTTAGTGACCACACCGTCCCTTTGCAGAGTCCAGGTGGGGGAAGGGGAAATAGATAACAGTGCATTCAAGGACATGTTTCTGTTCTTACCAATACAAGTATTTGTAATTTTCTTCAACCGCCAGTTGCATTAATTAGCTTTAACTTGTCAAAGTCTAAATGTCAAAAAACTCTGAAGTTCTTCAAGTTTCAGAAAAGTCTTTTTAACTGAACTACTATCAAGTTTACGTGTGGCTGGCATCACCACAAAGTAGGCTAAGAGTACAAAAATTAAAAAAATCCCACAAAATTGAGCAGTGTGCAAAATAACCAAAACTTTCCTTGAACCTGTCAATTAGTCAGTCTTTATTATAATTACCACAGCGGTGTTCAGGAATCTTGAGTCTGAGTCAGGAATCAGCAGACCACAAAAAACCTGACCACAAAGAGCCTATAGCCTAAATACTATGATCACAGAATTGCACTATATTTGCACTGTATTGCAGTACATTTTAGCCAGGCACATCTGCGTGCCAATCCCACATCCTGATAGCTTCCCCTGATGAGAGGGCCATAGAAGCATCTTTTTTTTTTTTTTTGCATTGCACTTTGTAATCTCAGGAACTACCATCATTTTGTCTTTAGTCTTGACATAAAACGGCTTTGAACCCAGTAAGTGAAAATACCTTATAAAACCCTGTGCGCTTGAGTTTCTAAGGAGCCACCAACCCAACACATGTATTTCTGAGCTCTTAAGAAGACCCAGAAGACTACATTCTCTTTCACAACTGAATTCCCTACAGCTTTCTCCTCCAGACTGAGACCAGTAAGGCCAAACAACCTTGGTAGTCTTTCTACATAAGTACATAAGTACCCAGCATCTGAGGCCTGATGCTTTCAGACTCGGGGGTGGTCCTCGGGAATGGGACAAAGGGAAGGCAGAGAAACAGCAGTGCAGAATACATCGAGGGAGGAACGTACAAGATGCCCAGGCACAACCCTCATGGACCAGTACCCTCCCTCTCCTGTTTCTTTCCATGCCTAGAAGTTATCTCCCTGGTTGCGGCATGACACGGATGGCAGGGCAGGTGCAGTGCAGCACAGGACTGAAGGCTGTGGCTCAACCTTATTCTTTGTATGTGGTGGCAGCCAGCTAGGGGGATGGCCAGAGGCACTATCCCTCCCTTGCCCTTTTCTCCCCACTCAATTACCCCAGCCCATCAGTATCATTAAATCAAGTGGAGACAAATGAATATACATTCATTTATAGCAGTACAGTACTTGCACTTCTAAAGGAGGTTCAGGTTTTCCAGCAAGACAAAGGCAGCCCATACTGCAAGAGAAAGCAAACAGTTTGGCTGAAGGATCTTTGTGCTGGTAGAGGCCACAATGACTAGAGCAAGTGGTGGGGAGAAGCATTAACGACATCTACAGCACAGACAACTCGAGGAACCAAGTAGATGAAAAGAGAAAGACAGCCCTTGCAGAGAAACACAGTAAGTGATTTTTTTTTATTTGTGTGGGAGGGTGGCTATACTGGAACTGGGATCAGAGTTGGATCTGTTGGGCCTTAGGGTACATTTTGGGGGAGTATGAGGTGGGGGAATGAACAACATGGAGAGTTATGTGCCATGAGTCATAACAGCATGGGGTAGGAAGAACGCACAGGGATGCGTGGGAAGACCAAATATCCACAAAAAAGTAGAATACCCTCATCCCCCTTGATCTAAGGTTTGAGAGCTGCTGTGCCATACCTGTTGAGATCTTCCAGTGTGAACTCAAAAGGTCACTTGTTCCCCAGGAACTTGGCTGAACACAGCAGCTTAGCTCACTAAAGTCATCTAACACCTAAATCCTAGTCAGAATTAATAAAATGATGAAAAAAAACCCGACAGAAAACACAGAGATACGAATGACTTCTAAGTTTAGGTGAAGTGACTGAAGAATGCTGTGGTGGCTGCAAATCTGCATTTCAAGGTCCCCAAATACTTACCTGTATATACCAGTATAGATTTTTTGCATCACACAATAAACCATTAAAAGTTTAAATGGTGTGTAGTGTCTGGTCTATGAAGTTGAGTATCTTATTCATACTGGCAGGAATAATGATTAATATGTCAATACAGACAGAGACACATATACGCAGACATGGGAAAAAAGTAACACATCAGTCACACTTAGGTCCCTTTCCACTGGAGAGGAGACGAGGTTGAGAGTATCTTCAAACACAAGACTAGAATGTTTTCTGAATCAGCAGCATCCTCTATCGGCAAGAGACACACTCTGGTCTTGCCAGCTCAGATAAGCAATCAAAAGCAGGTTCCACTTACGAAAGCACACAGTCAAAAGCAGCAAGTACAAAATTTTGACATTAATTTTACAGCGATCTATTTTGCTAATCGTGCTTTTTCCATAAATTGGTAATTGCTACCTTATAACTACTCTTCTTCAGAGCAATGCACCTTTTTATTCCATCATAGCTCTTTCTAGCAGAGTCTGTGGGAACAACATATATTCCCTGTACCTCCTTGCACCCTTTCACAAAGCTAAAGAGCACCAAACCACTTAGATTCCCCTGTAATTTCCTAATATTTGTATTACTTCCCCTGCATCACCTCTGATGCCAAATGCCTCCACCAGAAATCAAGCTGTCTTTCTGACAACAGTAAATACAGGCATTACTCCAAGAATGTTCTAGTGGAACAAGTGAAAATTTACACAATGTGTTAACCTCAGGACAAGAAATTATAAAAGCTGTAATCCAACAGGGAAAAAATAAATAAATCTCTGCATCAAAACTATTTGACGATTTGCACGGACTACTGTTGTAGATTTCTACTCTTGAATTATTTACAAAACCCTGCATTCTTCTCCAACAAACATTTCCCTAAGGTATATCAGGCAGCATATCCTCTATGCAGTACCTCAGGCCTTGTATAATAAAAAAAATTCCTGTCAAGTAATAGAAGAAAGATTGATAAGGAAGTTCCATGGAATTCCAGCTCTTCAACCTACAAAGGTGAAAGCTGCTGACCAGAAGAAAACAGCAAGTTCATAAAGCACATACTTTTAGCTATATAAAGCAAAAAAAACTCATCAGTGGGCAGAATAGGGCAGCTCTTTCATTTACAGTCTCTGAGAAAAGCATGTCATACTTGTAATCCCAAAAGGTAGTACTAGCAAAATCAGTATGTTACAACTGTGATGCTCTAGGTGCACATACACTCCAAACAGAATAAAAAAGTAAACAGAATTGCTCAAAAATGATAGCAATGTAAAACAAAACGTAAGAGCTGTACTGATGAATCACTCTTCTGAAAAGAAGAGCAGAATGTATGATCCTTAGTTTGGGGAAAAGAATAAACCAGATGTTTTTATAGTCTAAAATAGCACGATGTCCTAACATAAATTCTAAGGAATGATTCTGATGTCAAACATGTCCACTCATGTTGCTGACAACAACTAAGGCATAAATGAATAAGTAAATGAAGGATATTATTTCTCAGACTACAAGCAGCCACTATTAATCTCTAACTCGTACTAAAACAGCAACATGTGAAATGACTCTATGTGTTTAGGTTTGCTGAATTTTTGATCCAAAGTTGCAAAGGCAAGACATTCTTGGACAAAATATTGCAATATATTAAAAGAGAAAAGGCTTGTGGCTTTAAGTAAACAGAAGTGTATTGTAAAACATTATATACATTATTATTACAGTAATCATCTATTGTTATGTAGTACAGCATATTACTATTCGATCATAAGTGACTGTGACACAGCACTTCCTCCCCACTGCGTAAGAATACACTCTTATTATCAAGAGTGTATTATCATCATGTAGAAGAGCAAGTCCTGCTTTCAATGTTTTAAATAAGCAAAAAACAACAAAAAAACCCAATCCCACAACACATGAAGAAAGCCCTCCTACGAACCTAAAACCACTCAAGCCTAAAAACATTTCTTCCCCAGACAACGAGAAATATCACACATCTTTAACAAGTACTTATGCCAAATTCTTTCAGTGTATGAAGTATAATGTTCTTTTGGTCAACTGTAGTCTAGCGAAGCTGGGGAGAAAGTTTCCTACTTCAAAAAGTTTTAACAATCTAGATGTCTGAAAGTTGGAAGAAGTAAAACCTAACAGATTTTCCTGAATAGGTGTGCTGGTTTTGGCTGGGATACAGTTTATTTTCTTCATAGTAGCTAGTATGGGGCTATGTTTTGGATTTGTGCTGGAAACAGTGTTGATAACACAGGGATGTTTTAGTTATTGCCGAGCAGCAGAGTCAAGGCCTTTTCTGCTTCTCAGCCCACTCCACCAGTGAGTAGGCTGGGGGTGCACAAGAAGCTGGGAGGGGACACAGTTGGGACAGCTGACCCCAACTGACCAAAGGGATATGCCATACCGAATGATGTCATGCTCAGCAATAAAACTAGGGGGAAGGTTGGTGGGGGTGATGCTGCTCAGGGACTGGCTGGGCATCGGTTGGTTGGTGGTGAGCTATTGTTTTCATTTGCATCACTTGTACTTCCTGGGGTTTATTTCTCTCTCTCTTTGTTATTTTCCTTTTCATTACAATTTATTATTAGTATTATTATTATTACAATCATAGAATAGTTTGGATTGGAAGGGACCTTCAAAGGTCATCTAGTCCAACTCCCCTGCCATGGGCAGGGACACCTTCAACTAGATCAGGTTGCCCAGAGTCCTACTAAATTACTACTGTTTTATTTTACTTCAATTATTAAACTGTTCTTATCTCAACCCATGAGTTTTCTCACTTTTACCCTTCCAATTCTCTTCTCCCCATCTGTGTGGTGCTTAGTTGCCAACTGGGGTTAAAACACAACAATAGGTCAATTACACTTTCTCCATGTTGAATCTCTCTCTCTGTCTATCTATACAAAAGGAAATTGCAACCTACACTTCCACAGATGACAAAAAGGGAATAAATTACTTCCACTATGAATTTTCCAAATATTTTAACTGTATTTTATCTCCTTTTCAAACACACTAAGGAACAACTAGGAGATACGAAAATATCATTATATGTATTACAATTCAATCACTAAAAATATCTTATTCAAATCAGTATTATTTTTGTTACTTGACAACTCTGCCAATATCCTTATAAATGAGTCTGAACTTCTGTTTTCCACTAAAGTAAGTTATCATGATTGCCATTACATTCAAATACTGTGACAAGTAGAGCGCTACAAATATTGAAAGAGACGGATAGCTATGAAATGAGTCAAAAAACAAAACTGACATTCACATTGTATCCTCTGTATTTCAAATATAATGGGTTTGATGCTATCATATTGATTGCTTTATTTTTTGCAACCCTGTTCTTGAGAGACTCGTAATCGTGATACATGAAGCAGGATGAATAGAGTCAGACTGCTATCCAAAGTTATGAGCGTGTTAACAATGGTTGTTCCTCATAAATTGAATGATATTAAAGTAGAGCAAACTCATATAAAGTAAAATCTATTTTCATCTGAAAAAAGCATCATTTTTTCCCCCAAAACAACCCCATGAACAATTATGCAAACAGCATAGTAAAGGAAATTAATTGCAGACTTACTGCGGTAAAGCTCCAAGTGCTGCCTTACCAATTTTGTAAGTATTAGCCATAACTCATCTGACAACAAACAGTCCTTCTCAATTTACTGATCCAAATCAGTTCTCAAAACTTACCAGGTTTTCTCTTTCAATTCTTTGCTGCTCCTTTTGCCTGTTGAGGGCACTGTGGTACAATTTAGGAGGTGGTACAGCTGACTTCTTCAATGTGGTACTTTTTGGCTTTGCAGACTGTCTGGACAGTTCTTTTAGCAACCTTTGGTTTTCCCGATCAATCTGTCTTACTTCTTCATTTGTGAAAGAATAATTTTTCCTTGTTCCTTTAGATGGCTGATCGATGGTTAGTTTTTGTTCTTTTTTCTCCAGCTGTAGGAAAGCTTTAAAATGGCAAAACCCAAAATACTCAGATTAAAAAACCAAACCAAATACAAATCTTGCATTCTATTATTAGGATTTATTTACAGACCTGAAAAAACAAGGCACATTTCACCTTCCCCCATCTGAATTCCAGATTTATGCATTTCAGAATTTTTCAGGGATGCTCAGATGTCCTCAGTACATTGATTTTACGCAAGTTTCACCACAAAAATCAGGTCTCATTTTGGCCTTAGTTAAAGCCCATCTGCTTCCTTCTCACTAGGAATCCCCCTCCTCCCCATTTATGACTGGTAATCCAGAGGAATTGAACAGATGTGGTGAACAACTGAGCAATACAAGGGAATCAGCAATATGCACACAGACACTCTGTAAGCATTTGTATAGAATATTATCTGTTATTTAGAAATCAGAATATAAATCAGTCTTACATGCACGGTCATTTCTTCTGCATGGTCAGTGTTCCTGATCCCCCCTTTGACTCTGATCGCCCCTGATGTCTACCTTTACCAGTATGCTTGCCCAGCTTCTACATTGACACAATATGCTCAGACTTCCATCCTCATATACTTTTACTTTAGTTACTATGGTACCAGTAATCAGCACAGGCAATTATACATATATGCTAACGGAGCTACTGTTATACAGCACTAAAGCAACATTGAATATAATCATCATCACAGTGCTATCATTTGTGGCACCAATATAAGCATCAGAGAAGTTTTCTAAGCAACAGAAAACATAGCTTCAGGAAGCCAGGACTAGAAATAACTTACAGAACCAAGAATTAAACCATAAATTAGTATTTAGATGCTTGCACATGGAAAGAGATTTCAACTTTGCTCCAAAGATATCTAAAATATCTGTCTCAGCTGAGAGGCAGAACAGAAATGATGCTTCAGACAGAAAACTGACACTGGGAAAGCATGACTTCTGTGGGAGACACAAAATGCATTTCCTGAATTGATTTTGTTGATCCTTTGCTCCTGAAGCGATCCTACATCATGTTGGTGCAGGAATTGCAAAGGCAAAGATGAAAGTTAAATTTATTGGATGGAGAGAAATGAGTGAGCATATATAACAGAAGAAAAACCACTGGGGCCTGGCAATTTAAAACAGTAAAAAAAGCAACAAATTAAACCAGGATATGAGGTTTCAAGACAAAAGAACGAAGAATGCACACTTAAAAATAGACTGCAGGACAGACTTGCACAATTGCAAGATAAGATAATAACTGGAAAACTTCACACTCAGCCAGAGCCAGCTATGTTTATTATAGTTCCACTGGAGCTTTGCTATTGACCTATTTCTAAGCCTTTGATTTCTAAAGCTCTGCAGCAGATCTTCTGGCAACTGTTTTAAGAGCTTTGCTGTCATGGTATTACCCCATCAAACCATTGCATTATCTATGGTACAGGAATGGTGGTACCAGGTTAGATCAAACAGATTTTTGGAGCTGAGACACAGAGGAAGCCTTACTCAAGCCATTCCCCACGTTCCTCCAATATCACAGTGCCTCCAGAAGATACCCCTCACTCTTACCCCTAAAAGCCCCACACAAGTAAAAGAAGCATCCAAAGCATCAGCTTTGAGAAAAGCAGGGGAAAAAAAAAAAAAACCAAACAGGCATGCAGTAAGATTTCCTCAGCAAACACTTCCACAACAGCAATTTTTTGGCGAGGGATGTCTCAGGCAGCCTTTAATAGCTTAAAAACCTCAAAGATATGCTCAAAATGATGAGTGTGTTCTTACCGAAAGATTTAATTTCATTTTGTTTTGAAGTATCTCAACTGAGTTTATTCCAGAATTGATGCAAGAAAATATTGCTACTGTCTTTGAGAAATTTAGAAACAGTATCCAGAACTCAAATTCCAAACAGCTCATGAATTTCAAAACCCCTCTGGAAATTAGTACCATCATTACTAGGCAAGAACTGGCCCTAGGCAGCTAACTGTGAGGTTGTCCACATTAGCAAATATTGTTTTAATTTGTCAAGAGAAGATGCAAATCACCTCAAAACCAAGACACAATGCAAAATAGTAGCACGCAGATCAAGCGTGTCAACCAACAAGTTAGTAAAGTATAAATGTCTTGAGAAGCATCTTTACAATTTAGTAAGTTATTTCAAGGGAAAACTAGTACAGCCATGAACACCATTTAAGGAGACAAACCTGGGATGAGACTTATCTGGATACACCTACAAGGGACAAAAAGAAGTGCACAAAAAAAACCTAGAGCCACACAATTCACACAGTAACATCAAGCTGCAGTGTACTTCTAAGTAAAAAATAATTAAATATATCCTTATGGGAACATGCAAAATCAGCACTGCATAACACAGTTGGAAGAAAGTAATCTGAACAACCATCTGAAGGAGATATTTATTATATATCACACTACAAAATTGATAATTGTATTATTACGAAGCTATGAAAGATGATTTCATCTTTTGCCTTACATCCATAGCATCTCACAGGTTAAGCAAGACTGCACATCATATGCAAGAATGGAAATCAGGTTGTGGCAAAGAACAGTTGTTCAACTGAAGTCTTAACCCAGCTTTGTGGCACCAATGCTACTGGCGATGCAATCTTTTACAAGAGACATTTAAACTTCTGAATAACTGTCAGTGCAAATTCCAAATAGCTCTTTTCTTTCTGTGAAAGGTGGGAACTAGTCAAATTCAATTTAAAGCAATGGCATTCTGAATGAGGACATTTTAATTAGAAATACAGCTTTCATGTCTTCACTGGTACATGGTTGCTTTAATTCTCTATAAGGTAGCTGGTTATACTTTAGTGGAGAGTGTATACTCTTACAATGCAGCTATGAACTATACCCAGTAAACACAGATTAAAAATGCTTTGAGATAAATAACCATCAAGGTAATTACTTATCTTTTGACTTGCTCATTTTTCTGCAAAACGCCTGTCAGCTGTGATAAAAAAAAAACCAAACAACAGAGCAATGACATGGAACACACACCTCTCCCTTTTCCCTCAATGCTGGCCAGTAAATGCTTTTAGAAATACTGATTCAAGGAGCCCTGCAGTGACTGCTACACACGAGGCTCAACAAGCACTGCGTTACTTGGTCACTCAGATCTCCTCGGGGGCAGTGGTATGCAACTTCTGCAGCATTAAACATCACCGGTATTTTACCAGAAGCTCTCAGGCAGTTAGTGTGAATACATATCTATGAACACTTCCATGCACTGCTCTACTGGATGCTACTTCTTATATATGTAAGTAAAGCATGACAAAATTTTACTGACTAACTTTACTCTCATCTTCCAGCTTCTTCAGTCACATCTCCCCAACACACAGACTTTTTTCATTCATCTCTTATTTCTTCCTCCTTTCCTTAGCCTCTTATAAGTCTTTTTACTTTCAATATATTTTCCTTCTACAGTGCCTCATCCACACCTTTTATCACCTCACCACAAAGACAGCCTTTCCCACTTGCGGCAGGCAGAAAAGAGACTCCAGCCCACTTTCTTCAGTATGCTCTTTATTCTTAGCCTCATTATTATTTATACTTACTTAGTGTAGAAACTGACCTTACTACTGCCAACAGCTTTCTGACAACTCTTGAGGTTAAGGGGCTTGCTAACAGTGATAATACCAAATTTATTATTATATTATTATATATAAACATATTAATGAAGAGAAAGAATTGTTAAGATCACCATGAAGGTTCTGCTGGGAAGTTATTCAGTGAAGCCTGAGCAGAAGACTGCCAAAAACCAGTAACTAATCTCTCGATACGCTCTTGAATTACAGAAGACATTAATTTTGCACCAAAAGTTCAGACCCAATACAACATGTGCAGCAGCAAGTTTTCTTCAAGGGGATGAGGTGAAAAGATCAATCTAAAACTCTCTAGTTCCTCACTAGTTTCTTCAGTTCCTCAACTGATCTTTTTACAGTTAGCCTCCTGTATGACCTAAGGAAGAACCACATTTGAAATTTCACAAGTAGCTCTTTGCAGGAACAGTGCTGCAATACACCAAGGCATTGGATCAAATAACACTTAAAAGTAGTCGTTTTGCTGTTCTTCAAGCTGGTAAGTTAATAAATTAAAGTTGTGTTTTACTTAGTTAAGATCTATGTTAAGGAAGAATTTAAGCTGCAAACACCACTTCAAAACAAACCGTAACTGACTGAAGCCTATCCATAGATAACCTTTTCTAAATCACAGCAAATGCAATATTGATCTCCTTAGGAACGGTGCTACAGGAGAGTTTAAAAGTTTAGTAGAAAAAAGACAAGCAACAGAATGCATACTGTGTCATTCAGTGAAAGAGGATCACTAATACTACAGGGTAAGTGTTTGTTCCTAACAAACAAGCAGAAGGCAGGGGACACACGTGAAATCACTGCTCCTTGAACGATACTCAAATAAACCGCAGCAGCAATCTAACGAAGTAGTGAGCAAAAGGTTCTGCAGGTCTTCCTGAAGCAGGGGTGACACTACTTCCATGGTCCAAAATTAGGCTTCTGACCCCAGAACTTCAAATCAGCAGTAATAGTTTCCACTACTTCCAAAGTTATCTGGCTGAAAAACTGTCCAGCCTGCACTCTGCAAAACACCACTTATACAGCATCATATTCCTATTCTCTGCACACTTATGATGACAGAAAATTATGTAATCCACAGCAGGTATGTATACCCAATATGCATTGAATGCACTTCAACATTCACTGGCAACAACATTGCTCTCATAGCAAAGGCAGTTAGTGTCTAAGTGAGGTCAGCACAAGCCTACAAAACCAGGGACAATTCACCATCAATAAACAAAAAAAGAATCAAGATGCCATGTAAGAGGTAAATGCATTTATTCTAAATGCTATTAAATACTTTGGGTACAGTTAGTGTTATATAACTCAAATATTTGAGTTTCAAAGTTATTTCAAGAATTTATTCAACAACGCACTCACACTACTCTTTAATCACAAAGCATAAGTGTTTGAACGGTTTATCTGACTATTTCTGC